CTAAAAAGAAACGTTTCGCCCCTCATCCAAGAGGCTTCGTCAGTCTGAGGCCTAGCCATCTGGTATTACCCAGAAGCCACCCTGACTCTTGTGTTTCAAGCCTGCCTCAGATACCCCTGAAGTCTGGCCTTTTCACTAATGGTTTCAAAAACACAAAGTTTGTTTTCTCAGTCATCCAAGTATATAACAACAAAAAAGGTTGAATCATGTCATCTGGACTTCGTTTTTTTTGTTAAAGAAGAAGGTAAGTTTTATTCTGGCAGATTATGCATTTTGACAAGTTTGTGTTGTGGGTAAAAGAAGCTAGATTACACACAGACAGGGTCCCTAAGCTACAGGGTCAGCCAAGTTCAAATCACAAGTCTTTTTGATTACTTTTTAACATAGCTGCATTCTACTTCAAGTATGTTTTGACAGCAGTAAAACTCATAACAGAAAGTTAAGTGAACTTTTTTTTTTTTTTTTTTTAGCCCTAACTAAAATCATATACGAGTGGAAATATTGACAGATGGGAGAGGTGCAATCTCTTCCCACATCCATACCAAGACCAATCGGAGACGAGCACAAGTCATCTCCTTGACATCTCTTTACTCGGTTCATTCACACGAGTGAGGAGGGGAGGTTTAGCTGAGGGTAAATCTGTCTGAGATTAAAGAGGTCTACTCTTCTTCAAATGAAGCACTAGATAATCATATTAAGCATCATATGGGCTCTTAGAATTCACTGTGACATCATGTGAAACCCCCCCCCCCACACACACACACTGTTGTGTTTGGACAAAGCAAAAAGCTGCTCTGAATGCCAACAGTGGCTGTAATTGAGGGATGTGACTTGAAGGAATAGAAACAGACTCACCGTGGCGAGCTCATCAAACTTTCCAAACAGCTCATTTAGCAGCTTAACCAATTCCTGGGCTGTGCACTGAGAGGCCAGGCTGGTGAAGCCAACTATATCTGCAAACAGGATGCTGGAACAGAGAAAATAAATTAAATGAATTAAGTTCTGAATATTTGTCTGAAACAGCCTTTAGCATGGAATTTTCCTCTTAAGATAATGTGATAATTTATTAAAGACTCATATGAGTCACCTGCAGAAAACATGGAGGAATGAAAAGAAAGGAGCTGTAGAAATTCTGTTCCCTTTTCTCTGTCTGCCTGGCAATGCATGCAGTGAAGCAGAGCAAATTAAAGAAAGCAGCAGGAGAATTGTCATGGGGGCTCCACGACACGTTCGGTTATGAACTGCAAAGAAGCCAATCTAAGATCATGCAACCGTCAAGGTGCTGTCACCGCCTGAACTTCAACTCTCCTTGTTTTTTTTTTTTGTTTTTTTTTAAAGAAGCAGTTTACAGGACTGAACACTATCAAATCAAAGCAAGCTTTGCTAACACTGGTCTCATCGGCACATCAACAGAAGTTGTTAAGAGTTAATAAATCAAGAATGAGGCCTTTTTGAAGATGTTAATATATCTGCTATCAATAAACATTTATTCACTGACAGAACAGCAAAGAACAGCTTTAAAGATTTAAAGGAAAATATGTTGCAACAATTTCTTTTTTAACCTGACAGGTGGAAATTAATCAGAGTTATAGAGTAGTAGGTGGAAGGTTTATCAAATCAAGTACTTTTAAAGCTTCTGCTCACATTTCAAATGGTTATTTGCAAAGAAAAATATATGATGTATGATTAATTTATCTTATATAACAATTAACTGGTAAGGTAAAAGTGGATGTGCTAAGTAACGATACGTTTTTATGTATTTATATGAAGTTTATTTTCCGAGTAAGATTCTTAAAGATACATTCAGTCGGCAAAACCAACAATCTTGGCCTTTTATTTTTAAGAAACAACAGTTGCACGTGTACTTGGCTGTCAAGTCCAGAATTTAATTTAAAATCTTACTTCTAACCTACAAAGCCCTCAACAACTTAGCTCCATCTTATATTAGAGATCTTATTGTTGCATATTTTCCTAACAAAGCACTTTGATCTCAGACTGCAGGCTTACTTGTGGTTCCTAGAGTTTCCGAAAGCAGAATGGGAGGAAGATCTTTCAGTTATCAGGCTCCTCTTGTGGAATCAACTTCCAGTTTCTGTCCATGAGGCTGACACATTGTCCAGTTTTAAGACTGGGATTAAGACTTTCCTTTTTGATAAATCCTATAGTTAGGGGTGGCTTGTTATGCTGCTATAGGCTTAAACTACTAGAGGACAAATTGACCTCATTTCCTTAAATGAAATGTTAAAATTAAAGAGTTTTCATTTGATACTATTTCTATCTTAACATGCGATTCTCGACCTGCCATTGTGTATCTGTTCCTCCTTCCTGTTCTTCTCAAACCCAGCTGGTCAAAGAAGATGGCCGCTTGTCCTGAGCCTGGTTCTGCTAAAGGTTTCTCCTCATGAGGGAGGTTTTCCATTCCACTGTCGCCTTCATGCTTGTTCAAGATGAGAGTCTGTGATGGAGTTAAATTCAAAGCAGTCTGCTCCTCAGATAATGTTGTTAACTTATTATATATGAATGTTTCTGTTCAGTGCCCTGAGATGACTTCAGTTGTGACTTGGCGCTGTATAAATAAACTGAAGTGAATTTAATTTAATTACTTCATATGCTATCAAATAGTATGTACTATTACAGACTATTATGCACTAGTATGTAAAAAGTGCTTCAGAGATCAGTAACAATTTAAAACAGTTTTCAAAAATACACCAGGTGTTTTTATTTCTTTGGCCATTGCACATTCAGACGTTTTAAATTGTATTATTTTACACAAAAAGCATCTAAAAATACTCCAGCTCTTAACAATCCAAAGACATGATTTTTATTTTTGAGCAATATAAAGCGCAGAGAGTTTCCACCGTGCCTACCGAATGATTTGTTCCTCTTGTTGGAGAACTTAGCAGTCCTCATTTGTTCCTCATGTTCAGGAACAAGACAGAACAGAAAGTTTTGTGAACGATTTGCCTCGTGCTGTAGTACGAGATGGCGCGAAGGGGATTAGTCACGAAACCGTCCCGAACAACTTGCATCTCTGCAGCTTTTGTACTGATGGCAGACTGTTACCTTCATGTGGGCTTGAGATTTTTCACAGTGTGACAGAGTGCTGGATCTCTGAGAGAGAGAACTGCTAAATGTCACTTAGTTGTCTCACAGATGTCGCCACATTGAGGGGCAGTGGATCCTGTTTGTGTTAATTTTTTTTTCAATTAGCAGCCATCTGTGTCTAATAAAAAAATATAGTTTCTGTAAACACCTTAAGCTACATTTAACACCACTCTTTAGAGAAGTTTTAAGTTTAGAATAAAGATCTGACATTTATGTACAAGACACTGTATAGTTAGGCATTTTATACTTTAGATTTAACTTTTACAGTAACATTTTACACAAGTCAGAAGTTAAGTATCATAACTACAGACTGCAACAAAAAATAACGTGTTTTGAACTCTATAAACTACAAATGATGTCTGTCAAATATGACTAAATGGTTGAGTCAGAACCAGAAATCGAAGCGATCAGCCTACACAACACATGCTCTGTGAATTTATCCCTCAAGCAACACAAGTCATGTTTTCTGCCTGCGCTGGCTGAAACATGAATCCAAGCCAAAACTATTAAAGACTGTCACTGAATTTGCTTCACAAATTTAATTTAATTGTCACTGTTGAGCAAAGCAGCCGAGGAAAAATGGGAAAAATGTTCAATTACACATTTTTTGTAAGAGAGACGCTGCAGAAAATGTCTTAAAACACTAAGGGCCCTAAAGCCTCCTGACTTCTAATGATCTTTAGGTAATTTTGTTTCAGACAAGCCATGCAAAGTTCAACTATGGACTTGAAAATTATTATGATTTAAATAATTGTTTGAAAAAAGGGGCAGATATAATAAGATTTTTTCTTCTTTCTGCTGCCTTTCATTTTAAATCTCTTGTATTTTTTTTATATTGTTATGGAATTGTTTTGTATTTTTTTAAATGAATAAACTTTATACCATACCAACTATGACACCAAATGGAAACAGAAAATATTCCTAAATAAACATAGCATACCTTAAAGGAATTTGTTTTGCATCACCCATTGCCTTGCATGCCAAAGATTTAACCAAAGACCTTGTGTGATCTGTTAACGCTCACATTATATTTTGGGGATAACGCTCAGCTACTACCACACAAGAATTTAGCTAAACACATGTAAAGTTGACATAGTTGTAGTCATTTTTCTATTTGCTGCAGTTGATTGGCTGCTCTGAATGAGAAACAGTTATGCCACCAACATCAGTACACTGCCATTACTTTGATTCCAAATAAATTATTGTCACTTAGCACAGTTTCATCATGCAAAGATATGATCTAAATATGCATCATGAGATGAGGGAGCTACTGTTCATATCATCTCTGCACAGAAATGCAGCTGAGTTCTTCCACTCTGTCACAAATGGACAGAATAACACTGGACATCAGGTTTAAGGTGAGAAAGAAGACAACTTAAGCCTTAATGACCAAAAAGGAGCTAACACCATCATTTTCTTTCCTTATGGCACTGTATGTGTGGTTTATATGTATCATCTGAAGGTACAACTGATATATGAGTGTTAATAAGATCCTTATAGAGACATTTGTTTCTGTCAAGGTAATACCTTTTTACTAAGAGGTTCATGGGTATTTCAGCAGAACCTAATTTTGTATAAAAGCCGTACAGATTTCTATCCCCTGAAATGTGCATTAATATTTGAAGCACACCATTAAAAGGAGAATCAGACTAGGACTGTCATTCTGGCTTGCAGCAATACTGGATAGAAATTTTGCTTTTACAGGTGCAACAATCCTGAAATTTCAAATGATCCAAAG